ATTTCATGAGATCGACTTCGGGTTCTTTAGGGATCTCTTTCGATAATTTTTCTAAGCCAGGGATCTCCTCCTCTGCTTTATCCTCTTTTTCCAAGGGGCGTGACGGCTTTCCAGCTTTGGGTTTAACTTCTTTATCAACTTTCTGTGCAGAAAGAGTATCAGATGGTACTGGTTTCGGTTCTTCCTTAGCTCGTTTAACGATAGGTTTTGGTGCTGCCTCAGTTCGAGGAGGCGCAAGTTCTACAGGTGCAAGTATTGGCCTTTCATCTGGGTTCCTTATCCGACCATCCCTACTCATCTGCCGAACATCCAATGAAGCAAGAATTCTTTTCTCATAGTCATCCCTGAAAGCCTTATCACCATTCCAGAGGGACATAAACTTCTCGACCTGATCGACAGGAGTTTCGAAGTTACAAAGTGGGCATGATAAATCGGAAGAACTACGGGTAACAAGTACTGTTCTTATCAAAAGAAAAATTATTCAACAGACCTCATCACAAGCGAGCTCCTCAAGGGCCTTGATGTCCTTCTTTGCAGCAAGGTCTTTAGCTTTGTTCATGATCGATCGGCTTTGATAAAAGTGGGCGTTCTGAAAACATAATAACATCAACCAAAAACGATAGCATTTCAAACCTCGTTTTAACAAAATGGATATGAAAAGACGGTAACATGAGAAACAAACACCAATCACGAATTATACTTGAAACATATAAACATCATTTTTAAACTCTCCAATTCACACGAACAGCAACAAGGCTTTTTAAGTAAACTGAATTGATAAGATAGAAAAAAAACAAACGCACCCCCTCATCGCGGTTCTTCCTAAGTTGCTGCATGCTTTCATACGTTCTGCCTCTCTTCTCGGTAACAGAAGTTAATTCCTCTTGCAAAGTTTTAATATCATCGTCTATTGCCTTCAAAGCCTCCTCGATGTGCTTTATCTTGGCTCTAACTGCTTGATGTTCCTTCCTCACGCCATTCAAATCACCACCCATAATCTACATTAGCATGATTCGTAAGACACGTGCATTTATTGCATTACAGAAGTCGTTTAGCAACACAGGATTGAATTCAACTTCAAAGTTTCGAACCTTGACTTGATCTTGGATGGCTTCTTTATGAACCATTGAATCCTGGAGCTTAGCTCTCATAGCAGCATTAGCAATAACTTTCTCCCTTGTCCCTTCAAGCTGTTTAATTTCTCTTAAAATTTGCTTTTCCTCAGAAAGTGGGATGCTCTCGTGTTGTATATGGTATTGTAAAGCTTGAATCTGCAGCCACCAACCCAAGATGAACATAAACCACCATTGATAAAAAGAAATCGGTTCTGATATTTTCTAAGAACTCGTATCGAAACTTACAGAAGCGTTGAGCTCTTCCTCAGATGAACATAAACCACCGTTACGACCAGAATTGTTTGCATTACGGAACTTGCCAAGAGCTTGATTAAGAGGTTCGATTTCCTTAATTTTCTCCTCAACAATTGATTTAAATTGTCGGTTGTCATCTTTCAGAGCCCTCACTTGAGTAATCAGCTCTGCTCTTTCAGCCTGTGGATGCAGCAGAAGTATATTCAACACGAGAAAATAAGTATGGAACATCAAATTTCTGACTAGTGATCGAACTTCTTAATCTCCCATAAAGATGAACACATGAATTTTGTAGCTTTCAGATTCTAGGCACAATGCCATGATGACTGCATGAAGCTTACAACACTCAGAAGAAAAAACCAAACATTCAACGCACACGAGTTCTATTAACTCCATTTGCATCCATATAATCATCAGTATCACTTGTTCATGCATAACTACAGCAAGTTTAGGTAATCTTCATCCCATTATCATATATGTATAGACACATACATACATATATATATGGCACGTGATACAAGAAAACGCTCCAATTTTGAATCATATATTGAGCATAAGATAGAAACTTCTAAGCATCTCAAGCAACGCCGCTTAAAAGCAGAAACCATAGACAACAAGGAAATAAGAGACAACTTTTTAATCAAATTATGCTTAAGAATATAAGAAAAGTACACTGCCATATCTATTTCAAGCTCCAATTTGTTGCAATATTGGATCATTTTCCTTACCCTTTTCCCCTTGAGCGTTTCGGTGATTTGAAACCGAGCTTGACTCCTCTTCTGTATCTCTTTATCAGCCAAATCAATGTTAGCCTTGATATTCGGATCGTCATACGGCCGATACCTTATGAAGTAGAACGTATGGATTTGTTTAGGTGCAGGCCATTCATCAGCAGCATCTTTAGGAACGTTCGAGGCTGAAGAAACATCTGCCTGTTCTTTAACAGGCTCATCTTCATGAGAACCAAACTTTATGGGCGCATTTTCTTCAGGCAATTGATCTAAATCTCCATTTTCTTTGCTTTTCGAAACCGAATTATCTGCTAATGATACCGAATCCACCGGTCCCTCAACCATCTCGAATCCAACAACCTCAACACCCATAGCTCCCAGCAGAGGGAACTAAAAGATCCTGGGGTGCAACAAGGAAAATACAAGATTAACCTATAATTCAGCTATCAAAACTCAAAACACCCATTTGATTAAAAACAAAAATCATCAAGATTCATCTTCATAAGAACAGATCTCTCAAATAAGAATGCTAAAAGCAATATCAAAACAACGACAATCTGGTGAAATGAGAGACCCCATGGAAAATTCTCCTCAGATTCACCAAGAAAATAACAGGCGGTACGAACAGAATAACCCAAAAAGGGATTGAAATAACAGAAAACAAGAATCGGATGAAGAAAGATCGAACCTAATCACATGAACCCACATACAAAATGGATTGAAAAAAGCAATAAAAGAAAGAATGATTACCAGTAACGGAAGCGGGAAAGTAAGAACAAGAAGAACAGGAGAGAACCCTTTTTGAACGAAGGAGGATTCTGGAATTCCGAAATTAGACAAAAACCCAGAAAGGAAAAAAGAAGAAATGGGTCACCCCCAGATCTCGCCCCTCTATTTTTAATCGCAAACCACTTCTCTCTCTTCAAAATAGAGCGATGGGCATTGAGGAAGATAGAGAGAGAGAAGAAAAATGGAAGAAATTACTAATCCTTCTTAACGTTGGGGGTTCGCTCTGAACCAAATCTATCGTCTTTTATGGAAATTTTTTCAATCATTTTTAGAACAAAAATAAGAAAAAGAAAACGATAATTCTGTTCTGGGTTCTTAAAATCCATAATCAAATACCGAAAATTAAAGGCATGAGCCCGGGTCAAAGTGGACAATATCATACAATTGTAGAGGACTGATTTCATCTAACATGTCTAAAATATGAAAGATTTAAATAAATTAGAGTGAAAAATGGGTAGATATATATAATCTAAAATAGAACATTTATGAGATAGATTATTTTTTTTAATATAAATTAAGAATTTTTTTTATGGGTAATTAATAAAAATTATGACTTTCAGGGATATCAGTTACAAGAAAATATTAATTCTATATTAATATTGACTTTTTTATGTTTTTTACTTTGAAATTAATTATTAATGGTAAAAAAATATTTGGGTCGGATTTAATTAGCTACCATTTAAAGATATATCAAGTTAAATATTTACGATATTATATAAAAAAAAGTAGATAAATTATTATTGAAAAATGAATGAAAGTAAAAAATAGAGTTACAAATCGCATTTTCTTTAACGAAACAAATAAATATTCAAATAAAGGAAATTTTTATTCCATAGTAAAAATTTAAAGTTTTTGTTATATTTAAAAATAAAGGTTTAAAATAAAATATACTGATTTTTTTTTAAATAAATATAACAAAATAAAAATAAATAAATAAGAGGGAGAGAGAATGGAGAAAAAATAATCCAAAAGGAAAAAGCTGAAATATCGCCAAAATATCGCAAAATATTGTTAAAAATGTTTTATTGACGAGATACTGCACGATATTATTTTCGTATATACCGTGATATTCTTTAAAAGGAAATGCACAAACAGTAGCGTCGTTGACTCCTGAGATTCTTTTAAAATATCGTTGATATTATAATTTATTTTGAGTAAACACTTTAATAATTTAATTTTGGATTTCTTGCCTTTAAATAATCCACTAAAAATAAAACTAAAAATAAAAATAAAGGCGGAGTGTCAAACGTAATATTAGTTCATTCATGTATTATTTTTTTAATTTAAAATGAAATTTTTTACTTCTATTCAAATGAAATTATTATTATTATTATTATTATTTTACTCAACATTATGAAAATTAAAATATTGAGTTTTAAGATGATATTTTAAATTATGGATAAATTAGATGATATTATTTTTTGTTTTTTAATATAAGAAAACAAAAAAAGAAAATGATTTATTTATAGGTGTGAATGCATGGAAGAAAAATAAAAATAAAAAGGTGTGGGAAACTGGCGCGTGCCCTGGTGCTTAGCCAAGAAACTCAACGGGCGCGTGGCTTGTACTGCCAAAACCTATCTGTCTAGTTCTGTCTCCCTTGATGAATCCATTTTATTTTCCACCTGTTGACACGTGGATGCCGCGGTGGCCTTCACAAGGGCACATTCACAAATTACTATCCACCATATACCCATGTGGCTAATTTAGAGATTTATTTTATTGGTCCGAAATTAGTAAAATTAAATGGTTAATTTTGCAGAGAAATACAGTTGGAATAAAAATAATCTGAGTAGCCATGAAAAAGAACGAGTGTGAGAGTAACAACGTACTCAAAAGGTAAAGTGTGATAGTCGAACAATGGAACTAACCATACATCATACATCAACATATGAGAATTTAAAGCTCGTATCAAATGTCATTTGGAGGCAAAAATATTTCGAACTTGCATATAAAGCATTAGCGACCACGTTGAATAATTTTTCTCTCGGGAAAATGAAACCAAGTGAGAGAGAGTAAAACCGAAAGGGAGAAAGAGATGGTGAGTGAATGTAAGCCCCAAAAGCCTTCCGTGCTTACCAAACACGAGGGAAAGGAAAAAAAGCGCCAGTAGCTCAATGGATAGGGCATCTATTTCCTAAGCAGTAAATATGAAAACTCCGCTCGTTTGTGCGATTTTGTATTCAATTTATACACAAATCCCCCTATCTCTCTTACTCTCTTGAATTTCTATCTACAAACATGAACAATACCAATCTCTTCCAAAACAAAAGCCCACAGCCATTATGATATTGTAATGCCAAATTATTTAGATCTAACCTGTGTACTTCTTGGGTATACAACATACTGGTCTGCCTCAACCTTTCTGCATTTAAGACATGGCCCCTCCTCTCTAAACCATTTCCAGAATTTTGATATGCCCAGTTGAGTTTGCAGCAACTAATGAAGATGACTGGCCTCGCCAACAAACCGACGAGATGAATTGTGCAGCGGCGTCCATTTCATGACCAGAAAGAGGATCGATTTCAAACTTGTATGATAATGCTGGCATTGGAAAGGCTTTGTGGTAGATGAAGACCTAATCCAGAGAATAAAGAAACAAATTTCAAGAGCTAATGAATAATGATGGATAGAACGTAGCAATTGAAGATGAAGATACAGAGATAATATACATTTTGTTGCCATCTTATAATAGTCATCTTTGGTCTCACAGAATGATGAAGATTGTTATCTTTGGTCTCACAGAATGATGAAGAAACCGATGTAATGCAGATTGAATAATTGGTGACGATAAGGGATGTGATTAAAACGCGTCTACTAGGGAGAGGTTTCCATATTCTTATAAAGAATGCTTCGTTCTCCTCTCCAACCGAGGTGGAATCTCACAATTCACCCTCTTTGGGGGCCCAACGTCCTTGCTGACACTCGTTCCTCTCTCCAATCGATGTGGGATCTCACAATCCACCCCCTTCAGGGCTCAACATCCTTGCTAGCACACCACCCAGTGTTTGACTCTGATACCATTTGTAACAGCCAAAACCCACTGCGGGTAGATAGTGTCCTCTTTGGACTTTCCCTCAAGCTTTTTAAAACGCATATACTAGGGAAACGTTTCCACACCTTTATAAAGAATGTTATGTTCCCTCTTCAACCGATGTGGGATCTCACAATCCACCCCCTTCGGGGCTCAGCGTCCTCGCTGGCACACCGCTCAGTGTTAGGCTCTGATACCATTTGTAACAGCTCAAGTTCACTGTTAGCAGATAGTGTCCTCTTTGGGCTTTCCCTTTCGAGGTTTCCCTCAAGATTTTTAAAACACGTCTGCTAGGAAGGGGTTTCTACACCCTTATAAAGAATGGAGAACCGATATGAATCTCACAATAATAAACAAAAAAAATGGAGGCAAAAGCTAACCTCATTTGTCTCTGAACCTGTAGCAATGTAACCATCAGACACTGATAGTCCCACAAAGTTCTGCAAGAGAAGTTTAAACAAGATATCAGCTATTCATCAACTTGAGTACCTTTTTGCAGGGTAAGAGGCTCTTATATCAATCAAGGGAGTGGTCAATAAAAACGAACGATAAATAACAGTCGCGATATATCGAAAGCATCGTTCACAACACAACATTTTTCAGATATAACAAACAAATATAAGTAACCCCTAAACTTGTTTGTATTTGGAACGGCACGAGAGGGAACAATGAACATTCAACATTCAGGGGGGAAAAACTTCCGCCTTGTTAGACGCTACTTCTTTTGCGACGTGACCCTCTCTTGGCCTTTATTATAGGCACGTTTCCATAGCTACAGCATGTTCTTTGCACCAATTGGATGCCTTTCCTCCCTCTTTTTCCTAATTAACTAGATTCCCATTATCTACTATCCAGTGAAACCATGAGAGCTTATACCCAAAATGAACAATATCATACTATTGTAAAACCTCAGGAGGTCACCCAACATAAAAAATTACTCCAAACCAAACCAAGCACACTTAATTTTGGAGTTCCTACAATTGAGCTATCGAAAAGAAAAGTGCACCTTATTGGTATAAGTAGTAACTTCAATTCTTTTCAGTTTTTCTCAATCATCCTATCCCCAAATTCACTCTCATTCGAATGTAGTCTCAATTCATTCATGTACCATTCCTTCACTTGGGCGTCACATGCCCACAACTTCCGTCTTTGTTCGTCCTAAACCATATCCTACTGGGAGAGGTATTGTCTTGATACCATCTAAAAGGATCTATGGTTTGTGAGACTAGTTTTCATTCTTAGAGCAATTAAAAAAAAGTAGACAACGTGATCATGCCATAATGGATACAGAGGAATATCAGGGTCATGAGATGCTAAATCTAGATTTCACGTCTTAATTTGAATCTTGGGCATGAGGCGTTACATATATTCACATCTAATAAACCCCCCTTCATCCGAGGACAAGAGACTTTCTTCCTATTAACAATATGACGGGACAACCATCTTCCAAGGCACCCAAAGTCTGCGCCATCATTCCATCGGATCAACTAACATCAACTCATTCAAGTTAACGATTCGACCATCCGTTCCATAAACTAAACCAAATAAGATAACTAGAAGTGTTCCTATTAAGTACTTTCCACTTTTGATTCTCATTCTATATTCTATTTCTTATAATAAACCAAACGCTATATAGCTTCCATTTGAGCGAAACCCAAAAAATTGGTGCCAACACCACTTGTTTCTTAATAATTAATGCATGAATCTGGGTATGGTGAGAATTTGTTGACGTTTCTACCAGCACAGACAGGAAAATCGTTTCAAAACTGTTAGATATGGTACCTTTACATTCATGTGGCCCGTGAAGGAATGAACTGGAGAATCAATAACCCGGGACGAGCACATGGACAAATCCCAGAGCTTCAAGGTGTTATCAGTTGATGCAGAAACGAGAGTGCTCGAATCTATATACTTGACGTAACTCACAGTTTTGCTGTGTCCAGTGAAGGTGCACAAAGGAACTCTAATATTCCGCATGTCGTAGTAATAAATTTTGTGATCAGCTGAACCGAACGCAAGGGACCGACCAGAATCCACAGGGAATTGTACACAGCAGACATTGGCTTTTGTTCTGATCGTGCCGATACTCATACCCTGCAGTAGCAACCCAAGTAAGGGACAAATTATCAAACATTCCAGATAAATATCGTTAGCATGCAATTACATTTCTGTAGTGCGTTTAGTTTCAAAGCTGATATCCACCAAGTGCAAAAGTAGAATTGCCTGATTGATACTCCAGAGCTTAACTGAACCATCATCACTCCCGCTAGCCAATATTGTTGGATCCTCCGATGAGAAGTCAATGGACCATACGCGCCTCTCATGTTCTTCCATTTCAGTGACTACTTGACTTCTTGTGACATCCCATACCTAAACACATCAAGCAACAATATGACCACCAAATAATAGAATCGCCAAGGTGGATAAAAATCATGGCATCGGTTACCTGCACTACACCCTCGAAATTACTAGAAGCAATTTGACTTTTGATGTAACGATTCCAACAAACACTGCTTAGTTTCGACCTGCTAGCCATTTCAACAACAGGGTAATGAATATCACGGTCTTCGTTCACGATTGATTCATATCCAAACACTTTAATTTTCCTATTAACACCAGCCGTGGCAAAGAATTCTCCATCGCGGTCAAAACTGAGAGAACATACTAGATTGGAGGAATTCAATAGATCTCCTTGTTTCAAGTCTGCCTTGACCTTTAACTTGCTAAAGGATAGATACTTGCACAAACCCTCCAGGAACGGACTTATCCACCCACCTTGTCTATTATCATTGCAACTCTTTTTTGAAGCCAAATTATTAACTGAACTTCTTTCATTCACAACAGTGGACCCTCTACCTTCGCTACTTATTGATGAGTGTTTAATAAACTGCCTCCTTGATGGCTTGTTTACTCTACCTCTCATCAAAAAATAAGCTAACTCCAATTTCTTGAAGTTCTTCATTAATCGAGAATACTTAAAAAGTACACCTTGTTCGTTTTGATTGTCATCAAGATTATCACCACATACTTCTAAATCGGGTATCAAAATTCCTGGCCTACATCGTTTCCTTGATCCCAAGCCAGCAGAATCAGTATTTTCAACGCGAGTCGTTGAAGAGAGATTTAAAGGCAAATGATTGTCCTTTTCTAGATCTGGACATGACCTACTTTTTCTTTTAAAATTAGTTTGGTGCATCATAACTTGTTCGATATCACTGCGAAGAAAAGAAATAGTATCTTGCAACTTATGAGAAGCTTCCTGCTTTCTTTGTTGCATAAGCAAAAGGAATTCTAGCAGTAACTCCTGCTCTTCAATTCTTTTCCTAAGCTCGATTGCTGCTTCACGTTCTTCAAGGTCATCTCTTGGCTCATTGAGAAATTCACTCTGCAATATATCACTGAAAAAGAAGAGAAGCATGATAAATGCATCCCCTAGATAGATAATAGATCCACTACGAAAAGTCTACATCTTTGCTCAAAGTAATTACATATCTAAACAAGATGCAGTAAATAAGAATACACGGCAAGAGAGGACTGCAATCCCGGAATCATGAACGCGTAAGATGCATAAGCTTGACTTCAGTATGTCACTAGCTAAGCAAAGGAAATACGAAAAAGAAAGCATATTTATAAATTACAGAAATATTTGTATCTTAAACTTCAGCAGGTAGTCAGTTTGAATTAATAGCTAGATTATCTTGCAATTTTATGGCGCACTAGATCGTTCTCTTGCTTATGAGTCTCCAAAAAATCTTAATTTGAAAATCTCTCACCCTCGCTTTCTTGCTCGAGTTAATTTTAGATTATTTTCTTTAATGAATAAACTAAGCCTAAGTTGAGAAAAATGAAAGAGCGCAAGGGCGTATAAAAAAGAAGCCCGCAAAACACGGAGGCAACCTAAAGGAATAGCCACATTCATATTCCTGACCCCCCGCATCTTCAAACGTTGCTAAAAGATTTTTATATGGATATAGGAAAAGAACTTAACAGTATTCCTGAGATTAGTTCGAACAAATATCAATTCATTTAACTGCACCGACATCATACCAGGAAAAAAAAAAAAAAGAACAAGCACAAACGTCGAAAATCATTGAACAAGTTAAGCTTCAAAGTAGTTACACAATCATTCCTTCCAACTCAATGATTTCAGCCCATTTAATGCAAACTTGGCTTTTAAGAAAAGAATCACAAAAGGCACTAACAGCTTATGCAAAGATTTTTAAACAAGGAAGTCCACAATGAAAGGAAGATTCACCTTAGCTTAGGTCGATTACTTGGCTCGGGATGCAGTAACCATAAGCAAAATGAAGCTTCTTTTGGCCACTTCAACAGCAATTGAGGAGGAAGCACTCTATGCCTCAAGCTCGACATAGTTCTACTCTTTTCTTCTCTCGAGCTGAAGGAGCAGAATAACTGGGTCACAAAGTGTCATTATCAGACAAGCTTATATGTTAAACTAAAAAAAAAGGAAGTGTTATTGGTCAATTATAGAACTTGCACTACTAACCTCAAAAAGAAGAACGCCTAACCGGTAGATATCTGAAGCACTGGAACTTGGACCACCAGACGCCTCTTCCGGGCTAGAGTACCAAGTAGTTTCCATGGCTAATATCTGTTTCATTGGAAACGATTGCATCTTATCTTCAGCTTCTTCCACATGTCGTCCATCCTTTTTTCTACATTCTCCAGACCCTTCATTCAATGATATTAGAGCTGCATACACTGAACTCGACTGCATACAACTAGTTTCTGACAAAGCATTTATCGGGGTCATAATAGATCGAAAACCCTCACTTCCAAGACTGCTTGGAAAGGGAGAAGATGCTTTTATAACCTCTACAGTTTGACTATTGAGGCCATCCTCAAGAGAATCAGAGCCAGAATCTGAACACGATGCCGACTCAATAAAGGTTACATGGTTGAAAGAGGACATAACAAAGCATGAAGGACGCACATTGTGAACAACAATGCCTTGAGCATGAGCAATGTTAACAATCTCCACTATTTGGCTAAATATATGAAGGCACTCTAAAGCATCCACAGATCTTTCTGGCTTATCCAACCATTGCCTCAAGCTAATATCACTCCATTTAAGAGAAGGCACATAAGGGTCAGCTAGTATATCTTCCTCACAAACCCCAGATAAATCATCCTGGTTCCTAAGGTGATCAAATGATGCCTCCATTGTTATCCACTTAAAGCTCCATATAAACAAATACACACACATCCAAGCGCTTGAAACATTCCTCCACTACTATCACAGACCCTGTCATCTACCATCATCACTCTTTATATCTACCCCTCACACACGAACGAGCTCAGAGTTCAAAACCTTGTACACATACAACAACCCACAAAAGGCAAAACGAGTCAAAACAAGAAGAAACGCTGTAGAACCCCTCGTTCACCTAAGCAAACATGTCACAAACAATGGTAACCAGCAAACTCAACCCAAAAACAAGCAACCCTTTTGAAAGAATAGAAAATTCCCAACAAAAGAGGGGAAATAAAAGGAAAAGGAATCAAACCCACCTTGAGAAAGAATCTAAAAACAACATGATGGCCACAAAAATCACCATGAAAGAGTAGAATTCAGTTCCTGCGAGGCAATTCCCGAGCCGCAAGAGCACTCATTCATTCCACCAAAGAAACCCGATGCTTTAGTTTGCACCCCACACTCAAAATCACCACCACCTCACAAAATATCTGTATTTTTTCACTAAAGAAAGAAAAAAAGCACACACAATCTTCCCACAAAAAACACGGACCGTTTATAATGCAGACTATAAAATAATCAAAAACAAAATTCCCAGTTATTTTCCATCTCCCATTTTGCTCCCTCTGAAACTGAGAAGCGCTTTTTCTCAAATTTCCCACCAATTTTTTTGGGCTTTTTGCAGGCCGATGATCTTCATTATCCATTGCTTTATTCCTGTACGTGGCACAACCATGGCCTCAAGTTACTCAATAAAAAATATAATCAAGTACAATTCGGTGGGCCATTTTGATTATTTAAAAAAGATTAAATTTTCAAACTTCCACGTTTAGTAAATAATTATTATTTTAATGTGTAAAGATGATGGAAACCATTAAATTAAATTTAATTAATTTTTTACTTTGGTCAATGATTTGTCACATGCCCCCATATCGGAGGTTCTCAATTGCCATTTGGTCTCTGAAATTTTATTTATATTGTACGGAAAACAGTATCTTTTATTTGAAAGTTATTAAAATAATATTTATAAAAAAAAAAACTAAGGTAACCCCAAATAAATAGATTTATTTTTTTTTCTTTATATCAGAATATTAGTTTGGTGATATATTAAATCATTTTCCCATCCAATTTTGTGTATTTAAATATTTTATAGGAATCAAATTTGCATGTCGCAATACCACTCTTGTGGTAGAGAGACATTGATGGTGCGGCATATTTTAGAAAATGTGAATAAAGAAATGCGTTCATAACCGGAGCAATAAACTCACACGAATTAAGTTGGATTATATTTATTTTATGATCCTATTTGGGTTTTCTTTTCGAAATTCCTCTCAAAGCTTTAAAACGCATTACAGAAAAGTTTGAATTATAATTTTAGCCTATAAACTTTTAATTTCATAGGTAAAAAAATTTAAGAACAATGATAGGTAATTTCTCAATCTTTCAATTGTGTTTCAATAAATTTGAAAACATGTTAATTAAGTTTATAAAATTTTAATTTTATGTCTAGTCCCCATTTACACATTTTAAATTTTAATTGATATATTAAATCTTAAATTAAATTTTATGTTATCGTATTTATTATGCAAAATAAAAAGATTGAACTCACCTTAATATTTAATTGGCGTGTATGACATAGTAATTATTAACTAATGCATTTTAATATTTGTAATATTGTACCAAAAACAAATTAACTCTCTACACTTTGACAGTAATATTTAATTATGTTCTTAAACTTCAAAAACTTTATTTTAACCTCTAAATTTTAGAATCGTTAAAAAAATTATTAATTTTTTTTTATTAGTAATATTCTAGGACTCAAATTAATATTTGAAAAGCATATTATATTAAATGTATACATGTGATTTTACACGAATAATATCATGTATCCACATTGTCAATTTTCTTCCATCATTTTAATGGATAAGTTATAATTTCAAATCTAAATGTAACCACCCAAGTTTATCACTAGATATTGTCCTCTTTAGACTTTCCCTTATGCGACATCACATAAACTATGCCTAGAAGGGTATGGATTCTACGTTGGCTGAGAGGATAACAAAACATCATTTACAACGGTGTGGCGGAAAGGAAAAGTCCAAAGAGACAATATCTGGGTGAATCTTAACCGTTACCATAAAAGATTAAAACAAATTTGTTTCAAAATTTAATTGATATAATGTTTTAAAATTTAGGTGTGGACAAATATGGAGACAAAACTAAATAATATAATTTTTTTTTTTAGTAATTTAATCATAAATTTAAGCCTACTCGATTATCAAATTTTATATTGAGTATAGTCTAAGGAAATAGGTGAGTGAAAATAAAATTAAATATTAATAAACTATTAATTGGGTTTATGATTTTTTTTAAAAAAAAATTGGAATTTTTAGATGCATTGGATCAAATAAATTCAATTAATTTTTGTTTAGTAGATCCAACTTATTTTGTTATTAATGTAATTAAGAAATTAAATAAACAATAAAATAATAATATAAAAAAAATTCTAATTGTTGGAAGCATAGGCTACATTATTTTGTAATTAATGTAAATTATAAATTAAAACAAAAAAACAGGAGAGTTCACATGATAGCATTGACTAAGTTAGTTTATAATTAATGTAAATCCACAAATTAAAATAAATTGAAATTTTTTTCATAATTATTTGGACCATAGTATGCATTAAATATAAGTTTCATTATCTTAAAATCAACTACGTTAATTATTTTGTATGCTCTAATTAATTAATTTAGTGTAACGACTTAAATTCAGTGCTAGCAGATATTATTTTCTTTAAGCTTTTCCTTTCGAGTTTCCTCTCAAGACTTTAAAACGCGTCTTAGGGGAAGGTTTCCACACGTTTATAAGAGGTGTTTTGTTCTCCTCCCCAATGTGAGACATCACAATCCACCTCCCTTTGGAGCCCAACGTCCTCGATGACACCCATTCCTTTCTCCAATTGATGTGGGACTGCCTCTAAATCTATCTCCCTTCGGGGCCCAGTGTCCTTACTAGCATATCGCCTCGTGTCTACCCCCTTCAGGGAACAGTGAGAAGGCTGACACATTGTCCAGTGTCTGGCTCTGATACCATTTGTAACGACCCATATCCACCACTATTAGATATTGTCATTTTTAGGCTATTGTTATGTCCCATATTGATTGGAGAGAAGAACAAACATCCCTTATAAGGGTGTGAAAACCTTCCACTAACAAACGCGTTTTAAAGCCTTGAGGAGAAGTCTGAAAGAGAAAGTCCAAAGAGGACAATATTTCGTTACATTTAAATTTGATATTAAAACGATATTATATTATTTTGGGATGAATTTAATATTAAGTGAGGTGAAAAAATAATATATAAAAACACAATATATTAGATGATATATTTGTAAACGAACCAATTAAGTTTACTAAAACTTTAAATTAATAGTTTAGAATATCTGAACTAGAGTTAATTAGTTAATAAACATTAATTAATTTTCAATAATCAAAATTAATTATTTATGGGAATTAATTCTGATCACTTCAATGATTAATAATCACAATTTAAACTTAAATTTATAATTAGTAATAAAGAAATTTCATTAATTAAAGGTTAATAAAATATTCTATGGTAACAATTATTCTATACATGTTATATAATTTGTTCTTTTTTTATCTTACACAATATATATTATTTTTAAAAAAAATTACTCAATTTTAGTTTTTGAAATATAACCTATATAATTAATTATTTAATTTAATAATTACAAGTTGGCATAATTATATTATCTGAAAATAATTATTAAGAAAAAAAATTAATTATTTAAAATTAAATAGTGTAAAAAAATAAAATTAAAAGGTGTGAAAAAAGAAAAAGAAAAAAAAGAGAGGGTGGGTCATGACTCATGCCATTGTTTCCACAATTAGCTTGATAAAGATTCTATTTTTCTTGCTCTGTGTGAGTCGCTTTGTGGCCATCCAGTCACAAATCGTCGTCGAAGGGGACAATCAAACTGTTAACCCATTTATCGAGGCAAGCCGCCATTTTCATCTCACTGCTTCAGGAGAGCCAAGCTTCTTCGTCTGCCTTTTTCTTCCCTTTTAGCCGAAGCCGATCATCAAAATGGAGCCGCCATTGTCCAGCAATTCGTTTCAGAATTCCAAGTCGCCCTTTGTTCTTTCTTGATTTTGTAGGATTCTATTTATTCTCTCTTCCTATTCATCTCTAATTAATCCGATTGTTGGTTGTTGTTCGCGCTATTACATCAGGGAACAAGAGCTATCTGTTTCCAGTTCTGGGTTTATGAAACCCCAGGTTTTAGGGGCCTCGTCGATCATCAAACAGCCTCCCAAAATGCTTAAAGACAAAGGGGTAGATTCTTCGTCTCTCTATTGTTATGTTATTGTTTTTTTCTTCGTTGATTAGTTTGATATCAATCGATGTTCATGGTTTGATTGTTGAGTACGACGTTTTTCATGTGGGTATGATTTTTTTTGAGACTGACCCACTGCGGATGATTGAAATTTACGAATTGGGTATTGTTTTGTTTTTGTTTTTTGTTCATGAACTCTTTTTTTGGAATTATGAGAATTACGATCGTGTTCTGTGCCTGAAGGCTGTTGTTTTTAGCGAATGAATACTTTTAAAAGCCTTTTTCATTGTTGTTTTGGTGAAATGAGAGCTATCAATGGAGTGATCTTGTTGCTGTTCTTGTTAACTCTCATATTTTCACCATTTGATTTTTCTTTACTGGATGTTTATAGCATGGCCTGTTTACTTGCTGGCACAGAGAGGAACATTTTTAGTGTTGTATTATCATAGATGCATCTGAATTAGAACTTTTCAATAAGGGAAAGATTGACCATATGATGATTGAGTGACAGTAGTGAAGCCTAAAGTGTGTGTCAGTTCAGTGAGTAGCGCTAAAATCAATAGCTTCATGTGATTGAGCAATGGTATCGTCTTTCATCTGTAAGCAGTCTTTGTAACATCTCAAACCCATTGGTAGCAAATATTGTCCTCTTTAGGTTTTTTCTTTTGGGTTTTCCCTCAAGGTTTTTAAAACGGGAGAGGTTTCCACACCCTTATAAGGAATGTTTCGTTCCCTTCTCTAACCGATGTGGGATCTCATGTGTTTTTATAAACTAAGCTTTAGGTTTTTATGGTTCCATCCCACAGCGTTGGGATTCTTATCTATAATTAAGTATAACTTGTGTGTTCTTCTGATGCTTCCGACCCCCTTTTGTTGTTTGTACGTTTATTGGTGCAGCTATGCTGGAAGAAGGCATGTCCTGCAATGGATTAAACATCTATAATTAAGTATAACTTGTGTATTCTTACGATGCTTACGACGTCTTTCTTTTCCTGCCACCCCGACCCACTCCAGATTATTTCAGTTAATGTTGAGGTGATTGATCTTGATGACGATGAAGCTTCTGATGCGGATATGGCCATGTTTCTTCAGGACAATTTTGACACAAATAACAAAGGAAAGGGTTTATATCACCATAGTGATCATCAATTGAAGGTTTGTTATCAAAGTATTTGTTCATTGCTTGATTGGTGTCTTCTTTCACATAGATCTTTTTCCTTTTGGAAACATAGGACATATGATTTACTTTGAGATGATTACAAAGAAATGAGAGAATAAGGCATCCTTGCATACTTTAGGATTAACTAGCAAAGGAGCCAATATCTAAACTGTGAGATCCCACATCGATTGGAGAGGGGAACG